TTTTTATTTTTTTGCTTTGTTTTTTTTTTTTATTTGAATAATGCTGCGTTTTTTTGTCTTTTATTTTTATATATTTCATTTAGGATTTTCTATAATTTAGTTTTTTTTTTAGTAATTTTAAAATTTTAAATAAATAAAAAATAAATTTATTAATAAAATATATTTTTAAGTTATAAAATTTATATTCAGTTTATTTACATAAATTCAATAAATTTGGCATTTTTTTGAAATAATTCGAAAAAATCCAATAAATCGTATAATTATTACGTTTAAATATATTTCTTATTATTCTTATTTTTAAATTATTGCGTTTAAATATATTTCCAATTATTCGTATTTTTATTTAATTTATTTCAAATTATTTTGAAATACCTCGAAATGAATCGAATAGTATTTGATAAATTCATATAGATTAGCTTTTTTACGTATAATCAGTTATCTATTAGAATATAAATATTTTGCTGTTTTGATGCATTTCATCTATTTTGAATTGTTTCGATATAATTCGAAAATTGCATAATATGTAGCGTAATATTGCACTTTAAGTTTCATAATATATTTCATAATATAACACTATTTATTGCACAATATTTCGCAATTTTTTGCACAATATTATGCCCAGACCATAATTATTGCGCAATATTTCAGGGCGTAATAACTTGCGTAAGTTTACATTAATATATTTCGCTGATGTGAAGTAATGCTATATCTTTTAATAATAAACAAGATATTAGGCCTTCGCATAAGACGGGTAAGGCCAGGTAGCATATGTACCCTAACCCTACCTGTCTGTGTAATGGTTCTTAACATTCATGCCCTAACCCTACCCTAAATACCTGAATTTAATACTCTGACCTGGCTTACACAGGCCAAGGGTACCTTGGGCCAGTACTGTATTATACCGGATGTCCCAAAAGTTTCTATACATAGGCCTTTTTTTTAAAGTGACCTTATATACTGAGATTACGATGATTATTTATGCAACTCTTTAAAAAAAAAGGGTCTGTGTATAGAAACTTTCGGGACACCCGGTATACTGTATACAAAAACATATTATCTAAATTGCAGCAGAATTCTAAACGTACTATAATTCATTATTATGATTTAAAAATCCCAAAGTCTTTGATCGCTTAAGCGATGATTATCATTTTACAATTAATTGTGATCACAATTAATTGTAAAGTGATGATTATCGTTTAAGCAATCAAAGACTTTGGAATTTTGCAAATCGATAAATTAAATAAATAAAGAACTTAATTATTGAAATATTTAAGTGTTAAATCTGAATATTTTAAATATATATTGAATTAAATATTTAATGGCTAAATTGATCATAAAGTTATTTAAAATAAATATAAATTAAAAGTCAATTTAGAATTTTAGAAATTTTATCTGATTAACAATTAACAATTAACAAGTAAAAATTTTATAAATAGACCCAATTAGAAATGCAAAATAAACTTTCAGTTTATTATATTTAAAATTTCTAGTTACATACAAGCAAATACTATATTAAAATGTAACATTGAAATATATTCGCATAATTATAAACCCATCCAAATTTAGTTGACACTTCTAGCCAATTTCGCTGGCACATTAATGCAGCTATTGTACTTGGATCTAATGAAGTGTGTTCTTTATCAATAATACAACCAGCACAGCTAAATATCTGTTCGGATGCAACACTTGTTGCTGGTACAGCAATAATATCCCGGGCCATTGCAAATAGATTTGGAAACTAACTTTTATTAAGCCTCTACTATTCAAGAATATCAGTGGTCTTATCAACAATATTTTCATCAAAGTACTGTTTGACTTCCCGAAGTGAGTCAGGTTGATTAGTTTGGTTTTTTTTCTTAGTATATTCAAAAAAATCATTAAGTTGACTTTCAAATGTTAACACTTTATCTTCAATGCTAGGATTTTCACTATTTATTACGTGCTATTCAATATCCAATAAAAAGTAATCTAATGGAAAATAATATGCAAGATACAGATCTTTGAACCTAAATTGTTAAAATGTTAATAAAATAAATTTAAAATTATTTAAACTATAATTATATTATATACATACTTTGTTCAGATATCCTGTATTTTTTCATCAACATTTTCTTGATTTTCATTTTTACGGTAATAAAATAAGATAAGCTGCAACTTATAACAGGGATTGAGAATACATACAATCATGTATAATAGATTACTATCTTTCCAATATTTATTGAATTTTTCTATCATAGATCGGTAAGTATTACGAACAAAGTTATTCAAATGGAATCTCATATTAAAGAGATAGGTATGAATACTTGGAATAGAGGTAAGCATATTGTTGATAGTCGGATAAGAAGTAGCAGATACTTTCAACATGCCTGTTTTTTTATTAAAATACAATATTTAATTAAAATAGATATAGAATAAATTAATTTTTGTTTTTAAAATACAAATTTTTATTTAAACATTTATATTTATAACTATAGTCAGACCTCTCTAAGTGCACGTCCTTGAGATTATACTTTAATAACGTGTATAAGAGAATAATAAGAAAAAGTGCATTTATAAAAGTTAAGTATATATTTGGGCTGGCACTTGAGCGTGCATTTAGAAAGTGTGTATACTTATAGATGGTGCATTTAAAGAGGTCTAACTATATAGCAAAAATCTATAACTTACACTCATAAAACGGTTTTAAGAAAGTACAAATAATTTTTGCCCTTTCCCACTCTTTCTCATCAGGTATATCAGGAAAAGTTTTGTCCCAATCATTCATTCTAGTAATTACACTTTCCAATTTTATTGCTGATTGCAGCATGATGAAAGTAGAGTTCTATCTAGTCTCGCAATCTAAAGGCAGGATTGTAGCTTTTATAGACTCATATTTACAAACATCTAAAAACATTTGATGCTGTCTTGGCATTGTATGTATTGCCTTGACACAACTGCGAATCTATAAAAATATTATTAGATTACTGTATTATTTAAAATTAATTAAATATATAAAATAAATACCTTTATAATCGCCTCTAAAATTTCTTTAATCCATCTTTCACAATAAGGTTCAGAATGTGGGCAAGATAGCGATTATGAAAAAGTTCTTTTTTAATGTTAATTAAATCCTGTGAAGCAGAATTAATTAGTTCATGGATTGCAACATCATTCGAACTTGCATTGTTAAGGGTAATAGTTTGCAACTGTAAATATATAATATTATTAATACAGATTAAATAATAACAAAATCAAGACAAAATTATATACTTTTGTAGTAATTAGGTAGTCATCAGTTACAGTCTTAATACAATTTCCAATGTTAGCACCAGTATGAGGATAGGGAAGTAACTCAAAAGATATTAAAAGAGATATAAGATTCCACTTTTTATCTAAAAAATGAGTAGTGATTGCCAAATATCCTAGTTGCTGAAGCGACGTCCACACATCACATGTAAGAGAGATTCTGCCTTCAGCATTTTGAAGTATTGTTCTTATTAAGTTTTTTCTTTCATCATATCCTTTCATAACATCTCGCTTTACTGTATCAGCACTCATACTAAAGCAAGGTAAAATCCCACTTAGAAATTTACGAAAGCCAGGTTTTTTAACAAATTGAAAACAAAGTTCATCCCGGATTATCATATCTACCAGGTCTTTTTGACTTGGATTTTCTATACATTGTCGTTTGCTTAAAATAGGAAAATTTAAATGAGTTTGACCATTTGATTGTTCATTACATGTTTCATTCTTTTTAAATTTATTACAAGATTTGAGATAGCGCCAGAGATGTGATGTTCCTGTACCTTTTTTATAAGCTAGAATACTTTTGCAATATTTATATTTTGCCTTTGGTTCATTTAATAATAATGTAAAGTGATCCCAAACTGCCGAAGTATTTCTTGAAGATGTTGTTGAACTTGTGGCTGTGGCAGTGGTGGTGTTGTCAGATACTGGTATGGGTGATGAAGTCACAGAGTCAGTAGAGATTCCATTTTGAATGTCCATTGTATCAGTAGAAATTATGTTTTGAATATCCATTGTATTAGTAGAGGTTACGTTTTGAACGTCTATTGTATCAGTTGAGGTTACATTCATTGCAAGTACAATTATTATTCGGCCAAGAGCACACTAAACAACTAGTGTTATAACAGTTAGAAAAACTTAACCTACTTAAAATCTTAATTAAGAGTGGCTTAAGAGTGGCATATTCGTTTAACTTACTCTATTTTTTTTTTTCGTTTTTTAATTTTTTTTTATTTTATTTTTTGGTTAATTTGCAATCTACACCTTCAACTACAATCTTTCTAGTATCTCTCTATTGATTATGCAGATTTCTTCTATTTTTTCTTGAGAAAAATATCTACATTAAGATCAAAGTTTAAGTTGTACAAAATTTTAGCCAATTAAAGTTTAAGTCTTGTGCCCATGTAATTTTTTGTAGTACAATTCGATACTCAGGGCTTGCTTATTAATCGCTTTTTTTTTTTATACTTTAAGATCATACAAAGTTTAAGTCATATGAAATTTTAGCCAATTAAAGTTTAAGTCTTGTGCCTATGTGATTTTTTGTAGTACAATGATAGGTACCCTTCGATACCCAGAGCTGGATATATCTAGATTCAAGTTCTACTAGGGTACTAATATTTAAGCCCTATTAAGTCCTATCTCCTTTTAAGGGTTTATAATTTAATATCCCAGTCTATCTTATATGGTACTACCCTAAGGGTACCCATGGGTAGCCCAGGCCTGTGCAGAGGTCTACAAGATATATTGGTTGTAATATACTAAGTTTATCCAAATTTGGATGTAAACAATATCAATCTTTTGAAGAGAGTAAGCCAAATCCTCACTTTTGGAAAAAATTTTTGGAAGACTGACAAAAAGGTGAAAAAAATAGAATAAGAAGCACTTGAACTAATAGAAGAAGTATGGCTAAAGAAAACATAAAGTTTGTTGTATCTCTAGGTTCTAAAGAAAGGCCTAATACAGTCAGACCTCTATAAATGCACATTGTTAGGACCAGCTCTAGAGTGTGTATTTAGGAAGGGTTGCAATTAGAGAACACTAATAAAACCATAATGTTACTATCATTATGTGATAAATATAGCTTTAGTAGCTCGAAAATGATGAATTTGATTGGCTAATAATCACATGGTTGCATTTATGGAGTGAGTTTTTATAAGTGGGCCAGACAATTAGCATGCAATTGCAAAATAAAGAGCATGCACTTATCTATAAGTCCTATTATGGGGCTAGTCTTCTATTGTGTATTTAGAGGGTGTTGCATTTAGGGAGGTCTGACTGTAATTTTGTCAACAGAAATGTTGATTTACCAAAATTTTTTTGCAAACAATATTATTGTTTGCAAAGAAGTTTATATAGTAAAAAAATGTTTTTTAAAGATATCTTGGCACTTACCAGGCTGATTTTGATACTTTAACTACTATTAAACCCACAAAGATGAGCTCTACAACTTTCAATTAATTGACAAGATTGATTAACTTAGTACAAAAAAAGTTTATCTTGAAGCAATTTCAGATTCAGCCTATATTAAATTTATATAGTAAACTAAGTTATGCTATACTATATTTATTCTTCAGTTAACTAGAGAATTATCAATTAAAGATTCAAAACTGGCTTAGCAAATCCTGAGTAAAGATTAGCAAATCTTTGATAGTACTACAAAACAGAACCAATTAAACCAAAAATTAGAGGATTTATATAACAAAGATCTTTGGGCAAAAAGATCTACCAACTTGACTATTGGGTTATATTGAGCTGCACTAGTTGTATATTCATTAGTTAATTCATTAACTGGGTAACTAATGAAAGATTCTTGGTTAAAATTCAGAAACATATACCAAGGATTGGGAGACCATGAAACTTAAGCCTAGTCTGGCAGACCAATCCTGATGGGCTATCAGATTGGAAGACTAAAAAGCCAAGATTACGAAATATGAAAGTAATGAAATATGGGTACTGACTGGGGTAGTGTTTGGTACAATCAAACAAAAATTTGACAATCAAATACTTGTGATTAAATCAGATATAAATGATTACAAGTCAACCAAAGCTAAATGTATAATATTGGTTGATCTGTGATTATTTAATTTCCGACTTAATCACCATCAAATTTTTGTTTGAATTTGCCAAGCACTAAATTACAGTATATATACATTTATTAAAATGTATAATATATATATGGGCTAGGTGCTGCGAAAAGGGATGAGATTGACAATTTTTTTAAAGATGCTTTTTTACATAAATCAATTTAAATAATATTAGGATTATTTTTCACTTAAGACACAAAAGTAGTTGTGTTAATAAAATTTTGCAATATAGCTTCTTAAAGTTTGTATTTTTTATGATTTATTATAAGATTTACAACATAAAAATTATTTTCTGAAGATCTTTGTTTTTGTCAATTTCGTCCCTTTTCGCAGCACCTAGCCCATATTATCTTAAAAATTAGTTAATTAATATTAATTAATTAATATATGTGGCTTTCTAAATAAACTCCTACAAAACTCTTCAAATCTTAAATCTAACTCTAAATACTAGCTCTAATGCTAAAAAAACTTAAAATTTTATATATGTTGTCTCAGATGTCGATCGGCCTAAATTAGGGTTAGAGTTAGGATAAGGATTAGGCCACAGCTTAGGTCAATTAATGCTGATCGTTTAATTCCGGCAAAGCAATTAATACCCAGTTACGTATCACCTGAGACAATTTAAAAATGACCCGGCAACCGGCTTTTATCTAATTTCATTTTTAAAAAATTATATATATAAAAAACATATAAAAATTTTTTATAGGCATCTAAAAAAACCCACCCGGGTAGTAAATATAGCCGAAAATTTTGTAGAACTTGACCCGACCAGATTATCAGAACCAGTTTATTTGGCCTAATAGGTGCATAAGTGCGTTTTGTAATAAATGAATTATATATTATAAATTTAATTACAAATGGTTATATAGCAAAATATTGTATATACTTTGTTAAAAATATTTAAAATTTTTTACATATTTATACTAAAGAAGTTTACTGAAAAATATTCAAAAATGAAAATAGCATTTTACTAAGCTTTTGTGTAGGAATTTCAAATAATTTAAAAACTTTAATTGCTATACAATAATTTTTAGTGATTAAATCTTGTGTGCAACGCTAGGTAGTGTTATAAGAAAAATATTTAATACATAACTTATATTGAAATAAAATAAGTAGCTTATTTTATTAATAAACTCTATACTTACGAACTGGTGATTTGACACGTACATATATGAAAGAACAGAGAAATAATATTTAATATACCTTCGATTGACATAAATGAATATATTGTTTTAAAATAAATTCAATACTTACATTCTGGTAATTAATAAGTAAGTAAGCATAGAAGTATATTTATATATAATTATATCGATGAAAAAATGTGCATATATTCTATGAATAAATACTTACGCACTGGTAGTTTAATATGGGGGCGAAAGATCAGAGAAACAATATTGATAAAACGCGAAGATTATTTTATGAATAAACTATACACTTACGCGCTGGTAGTTTAATACAAAATTAATATGTAATATTTAATGAATTAACTCTATTATATTTATGATTTTATATACTTACGCGCTGGTAGTTTAATATTAAGGGAAAGAGCATAGAGGTAATATGAAGTTGTAATTTCTTATTGCCCATAAATTTAATTATTTATAAATAACTATACTTACAGTCTATTAGTTTAACACGAAAGTGAAAGAACCGAGGTGATATTTAGTTGATAATTTCAAATTGAAGACAAACCGAGATTATTTTATGAATGAGCTCTATACTTACGACCTATTATTTTAACGCGTAAGTAAAGAACAAAGAAGCAATATTTAGTGGATAATTTTTATTGATAATAAAACGTGTGGATTACTTTGTGAATAAACTCTATACTTACATCCTGCAGTTAGCGTGTAAGCGAAAAACCAGAAATGTAACATTAATTAGATAAATCATATTTTAACAGTGTTGGCATATGACCTGTTATGACCATTATGACCATTATGACTAGTAATAGGTCATAAGTCATAAAAAAAATATGTTATGACCTATGACCTTAGTCATAACCTCTACCCAATAAAATTACAAAATAATTAGCCAATAGAAACTGTGCAACAAATTATTATAGTAAATATTACGATTATTAAAAAAATTCGT